AAATTATAAATAATTTTATTAATTTTTTTCCCGACATTACATCAGCACTATATTTATTTCCACTTTTTACAATTTTTTACTTGCTAAATCGCATCGAGTTTAAAAAATTTTACTGTTTAATCTTCAACGAAATCATCTGCCATCACGGATTTGTTGGGTAGTGGAAATTGATGGTGACCCATAAGAGTGAAATCATGTCAAAGTCAACCTACAACCCTATCAAAGGGAGTGCTGTGTCTTAATGCATCGCATAGGTTAACGATTAAATTACATATCGCGGTCTGTAGCATCCGTATATCTGGAGCTGCATTATTTAATGTTTTACGTTTACTAATCAGCATTAAGCTGCGCTATTACTAACAATATGAGATTAATAGCAACAGTACTCAATAGTACTAACATATATGATAATTATAACAAATATTGGAAATAGGACTTACTGCCAGTTTAATAGCTTGAAGCTCATAATGCTCACTGAACCAGTAATGTTGACTATCTTTTTGCAAAAAAGTCGTAAAATATATAATATATATATATATAAAATTATAAATAATTTTATTAATTTTTTTCCCGACATTACATCAGCACTATATTTATTTCCACTTTTTACAATTTTTTACTTGCTAAATCGCATCGAGTTTAAAAAATTTTACTGTTTAATCTTCAACGAAGTCGACAGTTATCTGATTCGAATTCAATTTAAGAATTAAAATGTTTATTAAGTTATTGAATATAAGTTCTTTGTAAGAGATGTACTCGATCATATGTTTGATTTAAGTACTTATCGTAGAAACCTGCAAATCGGATTAAAATACTATTTCTGTTTATTTATAAATGCTCATATACGTGTCACTAATATAATATGTAGCATTTTATTTTTTCGGTTTTTTTATATTTACATGTATTTTGGTATTACAATTGTTATTTTGAAATTTTAATGATATTCTCAATTTCATTCATTAATTCTCTCTTAACTGGATCAAATAGATGATACTATGAGATATAAATATTATAGTGTGATAACTATAGAAATCTTTTGATTACATTCGATTTTCGAAGAGGACGAGAGGGACGCGAGATTTTTTTGTAAAAATCTGTCTAAATAGCTATATATACCTACTTAGTAATCTACACTATTTTTCAAAGTCGTTGCCACATCCATATCACCTTCTTATCATTCCACTTATCTATCCATCGACGCAGACATTCTCTCTCTCCGCTTGCCCCCGCTCTTGTGCTAGAAAACGATTTTCGCGATGGGGTTAGAATGGATTCAGCGAGATTAAGCAGGCAGATACCAGCAGGATTTAGTCGAAAGTGCTTGCAGGTAGCAAGGGAGAAGGAGGAGAAGCAGGAAGTGGAAACGACGGAGTGAGAAGGATAAAAGGAAATAGCGGTGCCATATATAGTGAGCTTTTTTACGAGCAGCTCCGAGAAGCAAAGTACGTTTACGAGCTTACGGCTCGATGTGCGCGAAGTGTCGGCACCCGTCGACGACGGGAGCACAGGCGACAGGCGTCCGTAGTCCGAGCACGCGTCCTTACCTGCCAGAAGTCAATTTCCTCCTTCGAAGAAGGAGGTCTTCCTCGCCGGTTCCTTGCTCTCTGGGGAGAAGCTTGTCTTCGTCCTCTTGTCGAGAATGGCCTCTCCTGGTTCGTTCCTTTCGTCTCCTTCGCAATGTTTTCCGAGAACTTTGCAACTTTTTCTTCTGAAAGCTTCCATTGTTCGTCGGTTTAATAAATTCGGCAACGTGATTCGTTTTTAGGCGAAAATTGGGGCTTTAGACGGTTTTCCGCAACAATTAGCGCGGATTTCTAGATGAGTAATACAGCACGTGGGAGCGTCCGTGTAAAAATAACTCGATGCACGATGTATTGTAGTGCTTTCCAGCAAAGGACACAATGTAACACAGTGATCATTTCATCTTTGTTTAAGGGGATGCTGGAGTGACCAAATTATCACATTACAGTCGTATAAAAATCTTCGAATTGACTGAACGGAATAAAAAATCCTTTTATAGAATTAAAATAGACGTAAAATTAGGAGGTGGTGCAGTGGACCTTGTACTAAAATCAAAAAAAAATTTTTTAACATTCTTTCGATTTTAGTACAAGGTCCACTGCACCACCTCCTAATTTTGCGTCTATTTTAATCCTGTAAAAGAATTTTTTATTCCATTGAGTCAATTCGAAGATTTTTATAAGACTGTAATGTGATAATTTAGTCACTCCACCATCCCCTTAATAGTGACAAATAACAAGGATGTAATGTTCACTGTATTATCTATGTCTCTTACTGAAAAGCTCCTTGAATCCATTTTACAACTGCGTAAGTGTAGTTGTAGTGGTGGTGGTTGTAGAGAAAAATTGACCAATCACAGTCGAATTTTTCCTCATATTCGACAATTTTTTTAAATCCTAAAACAGTAGAAAAAATTTGAGTCGGACAAAAATATGCAGATTGCAGACGGAGGAAGTAAAAATATGATTGCAAACGAAGAATTAAAACAGGATATTCAAAACGAAGAGCAAAATTTCTTAAAAAGTAATATTTCTCAACGAATCTGTGAAGCGATTATTTTTTTTATTGTTCTAATATACCTAAATGTTTTACTTTTGGACTCGAAGAGTTTTCTTCTTCATTCATCTTCTCTTACTTTCTCTCTCATAGAAATAATACAATTTCTCCTGTATTCTATTATCTAGTATTTGAAACTAGACCTCATTTCTTCGAATTTGTCTCCCAATTAGAACGCTATTGCGCTTTGCGACTTTACGGTTGCTCGGGCGAAAATTCCCCGTTGCCCCCACCGGGCACGAAACCGTTGGTGGCTTTACCGTCGCCGCCGTTTGATTTATCACGAAATTTGCCCCGTGCACTCCCACGAGGGGTACCGGCCCGGGACGACGGTGGATGCTCTCGCGTGGATTCCTAATAATCTAATATGCCGCGACCTGAGCGTAATTTCATGCCTCCTCGGCCACGTGTAGCGTAGTTTTCCCTCTCTATCGATGTATAATCCAAGAGTGTCATATTCACCCTCCGCTCGTCCTCTACTCCGTCTCCCGTCCATCCTCGCATCGTCTTCCCCGTTTGCCGTTGGCAGACTGGTTACCTAGATGATCATAGTGACCGCTGGTGACTGGAGACTTGGAAATCCGATAACTTGGAAATCCGGATTAAATTCTCCCAACGGCAATGTAACTTGCGTATCTGTTTGTATGGGAAATGCACGTTGTGATTTATTGAAAATTCAATTGGAATTTGGAGAGAGTGAGAGAAAATGAGTCTTTATTTAATAATAATATCGTACAGTATTTATTTCATTATTTGATTTTGTTTTGTTGAATTCACCTTGTGTTTCTTTATAAGAGAATATTTTTGTGACTATAATTATATAGCATAATTATGGTTATTATTGCTATAATATTAATAATAATTAGTAGATAATAATAACTAAATGTATGTATAGCTCATACATATGCACCGGAATTGACTAGAAATTTCAGTTATTATTACTATAATAATGGTTGCAATTGCTGTAAACTGTAGTAAATTTATAGTAATAGTAACTGTAATTTGTATCATTTTCGGTGCCAACTACATTTTGTTGATATAGAACTAAACGAACAGTTATTATTACTAACATTATATCAGTAATAACTATAATTACGGTATATTGTAGCATGTAATGTACTAATGTTATAAATAATCATAAATATTAAAAACTTTTCTCTCAGAGTACGAATAAAATTGAAGATTAGATATGTACGAATTGTAATGTCGCTTTTTCTATAACAATATATACAAATAGTAATAACGATAATAAATACACTCGAAAGGAAGATATTCAATTCTCGTCTCGATTATATCAATTTAGTAAGTGAGTCTAGAATGAGGTCTATCGAGCTACATTTTCGCTCGCAATCACGCGGACTCTTTCCGGATTCGACGCGCGTCGCGAGGCATTAAACGAACATGTATAACGCGATGGATACGAGCCTCGTACCGCTTCACTCTGATCGGCTTTTATGCGCTTTACATGTACGCTGCGATGGATATCCGCGTGCACGGCCCGTCGCGCGTTAGACGCCTTCCATATTCTATTCTATTCTATTCTGTCAGTACGAGATACCCAATCTGCAGCTGCACGCGAGCGTACACATCGACCGAGAACTCGATTCCGTTTCTCGCTTTTGATTGTCGATCGTTTACATCGGCGTCGACAAGATTTTCCTCGAGAGGCACATACGATCGTTAGAATTCTCGTTTATTTTCACAAAAATGTTTATTTTTACAAAAAACCAATTAATGGATAATTTATAATATAGCAACGTTTTTTTATTATAAATTAGTTTTTATTTTTTATTATAAATTTATTTGCGTAGAGAAACGTTGTCTTGCATATGGTTCCCTTATCTATATACTTTAAAAGTAAATTCAAGAAATTACATTTTTCAAAAAAGAGGAGAAACTAGTTTTCAACTTACAGCAAATTATTATTAATCAAATATGATCTGCAAAAAGATTTTATACTTTTAAAAATATGAGCAAATGTTATTTTTGTCATTTTCGTTTTTTACAACCTAAATGTATTGATTTTTGACGGACGGAGTAACCTGTATATAACTCATTCATGATAATAATTCGAAAATCATATTTTTGTGTTTCGAAATAAGGGAATGATATCGTTTGTAAAATGAAATTTGAATGTTTGATATAGATTTGTTACACACCGCACACATAATATTATTGAAAAGTTTTAATTTAATCTTCTTTTCCTTCATCGAAAAATCATGTGATTTTTTGCGAACTCTTCATAGTGCTCATGGATTTTTATCTCCGAGAATCTTCTCGTGCTGTAGGACAGCATATTAGAATAAGCGAAGAACGAGGCTGATATACTCGTCGCGAAAGGATTCGCTTGAGCGATTTTTACAAAGGAACAAACTTAATCAAACCATTTGATCCAATCTTTCTGGATATCAAGTTATTCCAAGAAATACCTCCTCGTTTTACATCGAATAATAACGTAGAATATATCCGCGCGATGTATCGTGCGAGGTTGTGCCGTGCTGGAAAAATATGTGTCAAAAAGAGGAGAATCACATAGAAATTATTTATTCGCACTTTACTCGCATTTGTAATTTTGTTTGTATTGCTGCGCGCGTGCGATAAATAGCATTTTAATCTTGCCGCAGCAATATGCGCGACGCAGCAAGTTGATATCGTACCGGAATTATTTACTCGCGCATTTTACGCGCCTGCCAAAGTTTATTTGTTTTCGCAATATAAAGATACTTTTATATGTTTGTGCAGTACGTACGATTTTAATAATCTCTTTATAACATTTTATTCCCAATAGACACAAAAATATTCCAAAATCTTGTGCGAGAAATCTTTTTTTATATTTATTAGCACAAACATGATGATTAAATGGCTTTTGTAATTTACTATTACGATTTTTATTACGACCCGATCAATTTTTATAACAAAATTGAGCATAAACCTAACAATTTTGCATAAACTTAAGTAATTGCTTTCCTAAATTGAAAGATGCTGATGTTTCAGAAATACATATTTTTATATCTAGAGTTAAAATATTACCAAACATTTGTTTTTGAAATATTTATCGTCTGCAGTTTTAGGACACTCAGTATATTTCTTTATGTAATTTCTTATACACGATAGGATATCTGCACTAAATTATATATCGCAACAGCGTGTTTCTGGATTAACTGAAGCGAGCACAAAGAAATACGTCAAAAAATTCGGTGAGTGCACGCGAAGTTTTTAAAAGTTCGCGTCGACTCATCGCGCTTCTAACTTCCCAAGTTGTAATAACTTATGAAATGAACTTCTAAATAATTCATTTGATTCGGCTTCGTGACTTTGCATGATATTACCCCCGCAGTAAGATTAAAGCGATATTAACACGACAGCCAACGCAGCAAAAAGCACGCGATGTCCAGTGGTTGCGATAGATCACCCTTTTGTCAGACTGCGCCTCTAACTTCCCGTTGAGCTTTATACTATTTTGACAAGACATTCGCGGAACCAGCACAGCCTCGCATAACGCTTCAATTTGGCCTTTCTCAAAGTGGAGCACGCGTTTCTCGAGGGATATTCCTTGACTTACGTGAGAATATCTAGAGATATTGCGTTAACTGAACATTTTGTGTACTATACTTGCAAAATAGAATTAATCTTTTTAACTGTAACTTTTTAAACGTTCAGTAGATAATTACAAGTAATTGCAACATAATTTATATTTTCCAGAGACTATATTAAAATTATCCAACAGCGAAAATTTACAGCACTCGCGTGGCGCAAAGAAAGCTGAAGTTTCGCGATCGCTCAAAAGAGCAACG